AGCAAGATAAAATTTGCCCCGCATGCGCGTTTGTGTTCTAACCTTAAATAATAAAGGCAAATATTGTAAATAATTATTTTTGCGAGTTATGGTGGGTTTATCCAAATTCTTCGTTATCCTCATCAACTCTATTTAAAAAAAAAGTGGCCTCTTTTTTTTTGTTTAGTTTGTGATGCTAAATTGATAGCAATCACTGACACTAGCACATCCTCGTGGTCCGAAGATGAAGCGTCCTCATCATTAAATAACTCTTTAAATATGAAGGAAGATACTATGGCTTCTTCCATAGTTAGTATTTATTTAAAAAATTTTGAAGAAAATGGCAAAAATGTTAGAATCAGTGAGGTTATAAAGAGAGAATGCGTCTTGGCCGTTCAGATTGGGCGAATCGCCGGGCACACTCGGAGTGCGCTCTCTATCGGGTGCGCTCTTCACTGGACGTCGTCCGGACTCTTCAATCTGAACGCGCCCCAAAGGTGTGACCTCCAGGTGACCGTGACCATTGGCGTTCTAAACGTAGAGAGCCACAAGCTCACATTTCTTTGGAGTGATTAAAAACAACGGCCTGTAGGTGTGAAAGGAATACAACTAATACCTATAGTGCGAACACCCTACGTCAAGGCGAGAAACGACATGCAGCCTACGTCATGAATGGTTTTTTGGCATGGCGTGGGACTGAGATTTGATCTACAGAGGCCTTATGAGGATAAGCTATCCTGTAGTACTACTGTGTATAATTCTTGCAAATGAACACCCCTAAACTTCGCATTTCACTTCATCATTTTCAATTTCCCCAAACTCTCCAAGGTTGTATCTTTTCGAAGAACTGTGAATTTTTAACATTCGCTAGTGACTCCGAGCGACTCTGATTGACTCGCCCTTTTTAGGTGGCCTTCTTTTTAGTAGGTTCATTTGACTCTCAAAATCAAATCTCAAGACAATCGGTGATTTTCTTTTCGGAAGGATCCCACTCGAATGATACCAAAATACGGCTCCGAAACTTCCCCTTTTTCGACCCTTTCTCCTAAAGCCATGGAGGGTGGCATTTGTATGGTGACTCCCTTGTGACTCCATTCTGTGCAGAAGCCATGCAATAAGGTACCTGCAAATTTCTTGATCATATTATAGCAAGTTTTAAATTTTTTTCGCAAAACGGTTTTTTAACATCGTCTTAACTGCTCCCAGAGCGCTCTCCGTTTGGGCGGTGACGTCACAGATCTCTGCGGGAGTGCTACGAGAGCCAATATAATCCAAACGAGGACACCCCAGTTGAAATCAATAACCGAACGTGCCTAGTTTAGTTTTGAACCGAATTTTTGCGATGAATGTAAAAATGTGTTTTTTTTGAAAGATATAAAAGTCAAAATGACATTGTGTTGGCAATACAATGTAAAATTGTCAATGCTTGCAAATTTTTTATGTAGAAAAGAAAAAAAAGATTTTATTTGTCACTCATTTGTAAAACGTCATTTATCAAGTCAAAACATAAACAACGAAAATTGATTTTTACCAGTTACTAGCTCTACTGACTTGTAAAATTGACAGCTGAACTGTAAAAACTTTTTTCTACAAACGTCACTAAAAGTGTCATTTTTAACGGATGCTGTCAGTGTCTAAAATGCCATTTTATGACACTGGTGTTAAAAGTGATTACTTTTAGCACTAGTGCTAAAAGTAATCACTTCTAGCACTGATCAGAAAATATAAAAACATAGGAAATTTTATATCAAAGTAAAATATTTATTTAATTAAATTAAAATTAGCGAAACTGCAATTAGAATAAGAAAAACTCCATGGCCAATCTCATTGGTAGCAAATACTGAATTTATTTTGGTAAAACTTGTACCAGGAGAGTAAAGAGCAATGTTATTCTCCGAACTTTTGGGCAGAATTTGATCCGCAATGTTCTTTTGTATGAAAACTCGTACTGTTGCTTTGACTTGCTAGGCAATAATTCGAAAGTAGCTTTATTGGCAGCTTCTTCAATTTCCGCCGGGAGAAATTCATTGTCTTGATCACTTTCCATCGCCCAGAAAATAAACTACAATGAAACTGGATGAAACCACGCAAAAACCAAAAATTGTGCAGAAACCGTAAGCAAAAATTCGTGATTATTTGACGTTATTAATCAACAATGACAAACAGAGATGACAAATAAAAATAAACAAATTCGTTTTTTTTTCTTGCCAGCAACCTATTTCATAAATAAATTAGATGAAAGATTTGAAATTGAGGATTTCAAGGATGCGTTAATTTGGACTTTTAAACAGTGTTTGTAGAAAAAATAGTGTATGATATTCGTGCTAAAAGTGATTTTATTTTGTTCAAAGGGATGGAACACTCCGCCTTCGGCGTCGTGTCCCAAACTTCCCTTTTCACAAAATAAAATGTCACTTTTAGCACTTATATCATAAATAACTATTTACAAGTCAGTAGGGTCAGTAGAATTATTTATTAAAATTGTATTACCTATGTATTAATTTTTTATTTATTGTTTACAAATGAGTAACAAATAAATTATTGTACATCATACGCCAGGTATCAGTTTTTACTGGCTCTTGAAGGTGACAAGCTCGCCTGACGGCTCGCTAGTCATTTCCTTCAATCACCAGTAAAAACCGTTTTACCTGGCTAATAATGTAAAATACTATTAGTTCATCTATAGTTTATTTGTGACGTCATGAGTTTGAACGCTGGTTTGGAGTTGCGTCCATGCTTCCGGCGAACTACGTTTCATGTGACGTCATGAGTTTCTCGCGAAAGCGTTTGATTTCATTGAATCCGGAAGTAGTTCTGTTTGTTATCCTCCACTAGTGCACAATAGTTTACACTTTTCTGCACTACTGAGGCGTTTGTTATGCGGTTAGTGCAAATTGTGCAAGGCGTTTTTCATTTCAGTGTAGGGTTCCCAATCTTGCACTACTTACACCTGCTCAATAGAAGGTGTAACAAGTGCAGAATGGGGGGGGGGGGCAATAACTATTTTAATGGACAATGAAGATGTCTTCAGAGCTGGGGTCTTATTTTCGAATATTTTCGCAAACAAAATTTGATACGATTTCAAATGCTCCCCATTTAATTTACATTGCTGTCAGTCAAATTTCGTGTACGAAATGTACTCGAATGGTTTCGAAAATCGCAACCCTGGAAGATAGGGAATCTTCATCTTCCTCTATAAATTCCCAATATTAACCTTGTAAATTTAATTTTTTTCATATTACAAATTTTTTTCTCGGTCAGTTTCTACTTTAATTTACTAAATAATAATTTAGGGTTAAAGAATTATCCTCTCCTATCGTTGCACGAACTGCACTAACGCGTTTGCCGTTTGGTTTGGTAGTTTTCCTTAACTCTTGTGGCCATGAGCACAGAAACCATGAGCTACACCTAGCTGCACTAACCTATCCTACACGGAAATAACAAACCTAGTAGTTCGTCGCGAAAATTCGGTTTATGTCAAACACTGTGATCCATCGAATTTGACGGAGCAAGAACGAGCGCTCCGTGCGAGATTTGAAAGCGTTCTAATGTTCAAGTCGCACACGCGAATCTCGCCTAGAGCACCGTTTCAAGCCGAATATGTGAATCCGTTCCGGATCAATTTTTAGGCAAAAGTCGAAAGCGCTATCATATTTCAAAATTATTTAAAAAGTGCAATAACCGATGCGATGTTGCCAAATCTTCATTTAGTACAATTTTGCCTAATCACGTAAATTGTACGTAAAATTAAAATATTTGTACTGAAGCGTTATCAAACTCCATAACTTTTTGATGTTGATGTTTAATCAATCATCTATCTAGTATTTATTCATTATTCTCTTTCTCCAAATAAAAAATGCATTTCCAATCGAATTTGGTATTTGAATTTATTTATTCGATTATCGTTTCAAAAAAGAAATTTATATATCGACTGATAAAATCAAAGTCTGCGCTGCCTACAAAAATTCTCTATTTCTCAATTTTTCCGTCTCATTTTTTGTCTATTCCAGGCTCTCGAGTTTTCGTTTCCTTTTGAATTTCTCTAAATAGAAAAAATTCAATAGCTTGGAATAGAAACAAAATAGGTACCTAACCTACACTCTGTGTCTACTTGTCTGACAATTTCTCTCAAATTTCTTCTCTCTATTTCTTAATTTTTCCAGTTAAGTTTTTATCTATTCCCGGCTCTTGAATTTGTCAAAATAAATATAATATAATTCAGGAGCCTGGCATGGAGGAAAGCATTAATTTCCATTTGTCTACCAATTTTCTCTCAATTTTTCTTTCACATTTCTTCTCTTCATTTCTCAATTTTTCTATTCGATTTTTGTCTATCTCTTGAGTTTCCGTTTTCTTGTAAATTTTTCTAGTTGGAGTAAATTCGAGAGTTTGGACTAGAAATAAAATATTTTGTGTCTATTGTCTTTTGTCTTCCAGTTTTTTCTCAATTTCTCTTGGATTTCTTCTCTCTATTTCTCAATTTGTCCAGCTCAATTTTTGTTTATTCCTCTGGCTCTTGCATTTCCCAAAATAAAAATAATTCAAAAGCCAACATAAATTTTAATTATAAGTGAATACCATAGTTGATCTTTCTAAGTATGAAATGAAATAATAAACAGAGGGAAATAAAAAACTATAGATAATAGTGTTCAGCGAAGGACGGTGACACGTGACACACTAGCCCTCTGACAAAAAAGGAAAAAAGGGGTGCATTCAGGCGGTGCCAGTGACTTTATTCAGCCACTCAGCAGGAACTTTATTCTCGAAACAGGGGAGCAGCGTTCTCATTGGAACGAAAGTTCTGTCTTTGTCGTCCAGCATAACACTGACAATGAGTCCTTATGAGAATGCTGTTCCTTGATTTCGAGAATTACGTCCCTGCTGAGTGGCTGAGCTTAGCCGCTGGGACCGCCTGAATGTATCCAATGTTTCATCTGTTGACATTGTTCCAAAAACTCTAGCGAAACCGTCCGCAACCAACATCCAACATTACATTTGTGGTATTTTTGTAACTTTGTAGAGGGGGAAGTTAGGGTATGCGTCCTTGGTTCGATTCTTAAAAACCAATGATTCAATTAATAATTGGCACAGATAAATATTTATATCGATGATATTTAGGAATTGGGGAAGCATAATCGTGTTTTCTTTTCTTCAGCGCTTTATTAAATTATTAAATACAATAATAAACTTATCTTAAAAAGTCTTTGGATAAACACAACTTATCAGTAAAAAGTTCCAGAAACAATAATACCTAATACTCTATCAAAAAAAAAAAAACTTAAGAATCTTGTAATATAGATTTAGTAGTAACATAGGTACCTACATAATAATATATGAAAAACATAAACTATTTCAAACAAACCTTAACCATAAGTATTTTTGAGATGTTACAAATGTAACAGCATGATAATAGAAAAGTGATTATCCAATATCCATATATGAATATAAATAAATAAATGCATCAAATTTTATAAATATTTTTATACCTATAGATAATAATGATCTATGTAACTCAATATAGGGCACATTACAATGGTCGTACATATAGGGAAGTATGGAAGATGGAAGAATAAGAGCCTAAAACTATAAAATAGGTGTCTCACTTTCCCACTCAAAGTATTACAGAAAAAACTATAGAAAATACTATTCAGCGAAGCACCTCCGACAAAAAAAGGCTTCATATCTGTTGACATGTTCCAAAAACTTTAGATAGCAAAACCGTCCGCAACCAACATTACATTTGTGGTGGGAGTATTTTTGTAATTATGTAGAGGGGAGAGTACGCCTCCTTGGCCTTGAATAATTGGCACACATAAATATTTAGTATTAATGATATTTAGGAATTGGGGAAGCATAATCGTGTTTTCTCTTCTTTGGCGCTTTATTTAATTAAACACAATAATAGGCTTATCCTAAAAAGTCTTTGGATAAACGCTTATTAGTAAAAAGCTTCAGAAGCAATACTTACTCTATCAAAAAAAAAAAAAAAACTTAACTCTTTGAATACTTAATATAAGATTTGTAGCTACATACCTACATAATATATGGAAAACATAAACTATGTACCTATCAGTACAAAGCATAGGTACTCTATAAAAAAAAAACTGAAGAATCTTTTGATACCTAATATTAGATTTGTAGTTACAAATACTTACCTACATAATATATGAAAAACATAAACTACTTCCAACCAACCTAAACCATAAGTATTTTAATGATAATAGAAAAGTGATTATATTTTTATACTTATACATATAATAATTATCTAACTCAATGTAAGGCACATTACAATGGTTGTACATAGGCAAATATAGATGGAAGAATAAGCGTCTAGAACTACAAAATGTGTCCCCTCTCCTCTTCCACTCGAAGTATTAGAGCTCCAATAAAATTAGTCTAGGTACATAATATCAGTGGGAAATTATAAGCAAATTATTTCTCCCAAATATTCTTAACTCTAACCTTTTTAGGAGTCCTCATATTAGTCATATTGCCAATTTTAACTTTAATAATTTGCCGACGTTTTCGATGACTTTTGCGACTTTCCGAACGTTTGGTCGCTGGTGAAGACCTCCTTCTTCTACGAACAGAATCTTCCTTCGATACTGAAACTGTGGCAGGAAGAGATTTTCGCATTGACATTGATGTACTGGGTTCTTCTTTACACAATGGTGTTGTGGATGATACATTTCCAACAGAATCTTCTGAAGATTTTGTTTTGGAATTTGAGCTAGTTTGAATCATAGGAAGAGGTGTCATACTTAAAGTATAGTTCTGCAATAGCGGTGTAGTTTGAATTGAAGTATTACCAAATATAGTTTGACCAGGTGCGTTGTTTTGAATAGAAATTCCGGTATTTGGAATAAAAGTGGATCCATTCGGTAGAATAAATGACATCGCAGGAGAAGTCATCATCAAAGATTGAACTTGAGATGTTACAAATGTAACAGCATTTAATAAAGGAATTTCTTGAGAAGTAGGATTTTCCTTACGTTTTTCTATTAATGGTATATCATCCCAGTCATCTAATTTATTAGAACAATCTTTTTTTGTAGGTTCTTTATTAAAAACAACACTCAGTTCGTCATTATGTTTAAACGTAATAGGAATCATGTAATCTGGTAAATAATTTCTCAAGTTCTTTATTTGAACTTTATCATTGCACATTAAAATATCTTCATTACAAGGCAGTCGAATTTGCATTTCTCCTTCTGATTCCACTGAATTATTTCTCAAAATTTTAGCGATGTTCTTGATAACTTCAACATCACTCAATTTATTTTCGAGACCATCCACAGTAGTGTCATTATAAATACTTACAACTGGTACGTAAGCTGTTTCGTCTGTTTGGTCTGCTGGCTTAGGAGTATCATTGCTAGGAGTCTCTTCATTATCATGTTGTTGCTTGACATCAACATCGCGTTCATTTTTTTTGGACCCTGCTGTATTTTTCCTCATAGGGCAATTACGCTCAATATGTAGCTGCTTGGTTTCAATCGATTTAAATTTCAGTTTACAATATGGACACACTCTATGTCTGCTAGTATGTTTCTTTAAAGCAGATATATTAGCCTGTACACTATTGCAAATTTGGCATGTGAGGGAGTTTTGAGATACAGCTTCATCTGTTGCAGGTGTTAATCCTAAGGATTGAATAAAATCAGGTTTGGAGGCGATTGGAGAATCATCTTGTAAAGATGTTATTTGGTCAGATGAAGTATTTGCCAAAAGTTGATCAAAGACAACTGTTGAATTTTTAGGTGTTTCAACTGATATTTTTCTTATTTTCAGACTTGGATCTCTGCCGATTAAAATTTTTCTTTTATTTGACGAGGGTGAATCATCTAACATCAGCACGTCGTTAGAAGTTTTAAATTCCGGATTTTTAATAAACTCGTTAGCTGCAATAGTCCTTGTTATTATGCTTTTTCTATTTACCGGATTATCGGTTTGGCTTTCGGCGGATGTGGAAGAATCACTGTCCGAATCTGATTGTTCCCCCTTGTTTGTTCTTCTTTCTCTATAAATATACTTGGACATATCCAGGTTCCTATTTTTGAAGAAGGTTTCTACTTCTCCCATAGGAAACGAAACAATGGGTGCTATATCCCTATCCAGACATTTTTTGGGTAGCTTAAAAGAGGGATACTTTCTGTAGACATTGATGATGCTTGAATGTATTGTTGTAGGACCTTTTTTTTTCTTTGAAGCTTTCTTTCTTGCTGAAGTTGTCTCTTCGGCGTTTTCCAAATTTTTATTGGAGAATAGGCTGGACTCTGATGGTTTCGTTCTAACAACACGACCATGCTTTTGTTCGGTTTCTTTTTGAGCAAGCACTCGATTATCTTTTTTGATTGTTATGCAAGTGTTTGGTAGATGCAAACCTCTATTCTCGATGTATTGTTGACATTTTTCCTGAAAATAGCATGTTTGTTTATTGAGATCATTATTAAAATAATGAATAAGATATAAACCTTCAAATCTTGATCGTGTCTGATAGCACATTGGACAACTTCGTGAATTTTTCGTACGTTTCTGTAGCACTTTCGACAAATTTTTTGTGAGACTATGTCAGTTGGTAGTATCTGAAACAAAAATTTCAAGAAATTAAATATATATCAAGTAAGTAGGTACCTAAGAATTTCTGAATCCAAAGCTTCACAAACAGCAGACATTTAAATATTCTTTGTTTCTGCCGTTTGAAAATCTCGATTTTAACTTTGAATCCAGTAAATTTTTTTCAAAGATGTTTTTGTTTTAAGATTTTTCGGCTTTGCTCAACAAAGATTTATTGCACATTTTGAGTTTGTAGGAAAAAAAAAAACAAACAAAAATAGTTATTATAATGTTAGGACATTGCCACGACAAGAAACCCTAGGAGTACAAGCAATAATTGAATTGTATGAAGTCAATTTGCGCATATCAAGATATTTGCGATTACCTAATACCTAGTGATAAGTTCCAGTTATACTAACTTTCTGTTCCTTTTCCTCTGCCAAATATGTTAAGTTCTTTTATTTAGGGAGGAGAAACAAGTCTATTGGCATCAATTTATTCCGTTGTAACGTTTATTTAACATTTAAACATCAAAACGTAACCTATTAGTACCTACTAAAACCCGATTAACAATAATTGTCTTGATTAACATTAAAGTTAGAAAGTCCCGAATGACAATCTTGTTTGGAGGTTGATTCAAGAAATCTCTGAGGAAAAAGCTATAAATAAAATATAATATGGAAACTCAATAACTATGCTGAGTAAGCGGAATGCTGAATAAAGCGTGGTAGATAGATAGCTTCTGTAGTGACTACAGAAATTTTAATCAAGAATAACAAGGACTTATCAAACAACCATACCAGGAGAGATCATCACTTAGACAGCACAACCAGAAACTTCAATTAAAAATTATCTGAACATCGATATCCAGAAATTATTGAAAGCCGATTACACTGGAGTGTGACTAAAGCAAAAGTTCATGGATCTTTTTTTAAGTGCTTTCAACAATTAACATTCCAAAGGAGCCGAAAATTTTCTAAATCATGCACGAGCCTATATGATGATACCCACTTAACAAACCACTTAGCGACGCCCTTGATAATTAATTAAAAGGGGACCAAATACACTAATTGATCGGATGATTCAACACGAAAAATCGAGGTCAGAAAGAATAAAGAGATCCAAGACAATGGAGGGACCAATGATTTAAAAAGGCAACTTGGCAGGAGAAAATCAGAGTTCGAGAAAACCAGTGTTCGAGAAAGAACGAGTAAACCGTCAGACTTACGGCGTCAAAGACCAGTGTCGGTTGAGTAATCAAGAAACAAGTAGTAATCGAGAATCGAGAGACCTGTGTCCAGATAGTCAGAACTACGGCGTGAAAAAGTTGTCGAATTAACCGAGAGAAGAAGCACGACGTGAAATAACAGCACGAAAATATTCGAGTTTTTTATTAAGTGTTCATAATTAAAGTAAATGCCTTCGACCAATAAGATTTCCATGTAATTAGGTGTGGCCAGCAGTAAATATATTATTGTTAAATGTAAGTAGAGTTTTTTTATGTTCAGCCAGAATTTGTGAAGGCTAGAGTGTGAATCGTGTCAAACTTGTTACGATAAATTTATCATTTACGTAACATGTTCCATCCCTTCTTATTTTCATTATAAAGTAGTATTTTTTTCATTTTAGAATTCAAGATAATTTCTAATATTCTAAAAATATCCATTAAATTCAAATTTAAATTCAAGTAATACAAGTGCTGCCATCTATCTACATTTGCGTAAAGTGCAAGTATCGAGAAGTGATTTTTTAGTACTGCCATCTAGTGCCCGATGATCGATCTATATTTCAAAGTATGATTTCTTATTTCGCATTTGGCAGTAATTTGTATTTTTATTGAAAGAAATTATATTCATCTCACTTTTAGCAAATGGATATAGCAAATGGATATATTTCTGTCGTTTTCTAACTTCTGATTTTGAAATATTCATTTTTGGCTTAATGATCTAGTTAATCGACAGTCTTTTATTTTTGACATAACCTTAATTTAAATTATTATAATTTGTAAACAATTAAAATAGTTTTAGTGGATTTTCATCTATTTTCGTTTATTCCATGCGGTCTTTTCATTGTGTTTTCATTTTGAAGTGAATATGGTCTTTTGAGTGTACTCGTTTGATTGGTTCAAACTGGTTGGAATGTATAAAAAAACACAGGATCGTTTTCCTGCTAGCTTGGTTCTCTAAAACGATCTCTTCTTGAAGAACACTCTGGCCAGGCAAGTCCTCTATTTTTAAAATAATTTTGTGCTTTGTGAATTTCTGGATCCTCCCTTGTAGATTTTTCAAAGTGATCATATCATTATTAAGTTTTTACCTGATAAATCTTATCTTATCTGTTCCTGAAATATAAATATTATATTTTAGGGTTTTTTCTATCTGATTGTTGGCTTCCATTTTGTGTGAATTATTTATTGGTTAGTACCACATTTTTGTTAAGAAGTAAGTCAAGAATTTTTGGGTTTTAAATAGGCACTTCTGCTCTGGCTCTCAGAAACAATTTTTAGTGTGGGAAAATTGGACCATTTGCTCTTAATAGAGTCGGTGAAAACCAAATTTGTGAGTCCATCCCCATTAATCCTTTATTGAATCCAGACAGAGGCCTGAACAGCCATTTTCTGCTTGACTCCTTAAAGGGTGTAATTTTTTAATAGAAATCCAGACAGGTCAAAAATTCAGTTTAAAAGTTTTAATTAAAACATCTCAAGAATTTTGACACTTTCTGGATTTGATTAATTTCAACCCTAGGTTTATCTAGTATCTGTGGTAGCTAACTTAATTCGAGGGGAGAATTTTGTCTATTTGGGGAGGAATCCAGACATTTGATTTCTTATTTTTTTTTTACTCACCTTATTTTTGCTTGTATTTTTGCCTGCCAGAGCTGTGTTTCAAGGAAGCAGCATTTTGCTCAATTGTAACGAGCATTCTAATTTAATCTTGTTATTACCTTATTTTTTTATTATCTTACCATTGATTTTAATTATTTACCTAATTGTTTTTTTTTTATAATAAAATATAATTTTTTTTTAACTTGCAATAACTGTTCATACCTGATTCTGTTGGAAGGGAGTGTCTGTATAACAATCATTTTGTACTAAATTTCAATTTCAATTTCCTGTGCAAGACACTCACTTTTTGACAGAATTCAGGAATTTAATGTTCCAAATATTGGTGAACCTGATACTGCCTTCTTCTTTTCTGGGTACCTACTCTACATAAAGATCACTGTTTGGAGTCTGGATCAGCTGGAGTGACGTCACCCCAGCAATCTACCCTCTTCCTGGAAACAGGAAACAACACCAAGAGCTCCAGTTCACGAAAGTGAAACCCCAACACCCATTGAAGAGCTCCGGATTGGAAAGGTACATACTGTATCAGATTCACCAGAACAAACAAGCTATATTGTTCAGACTATTAAAAACCAAGATTGTTTATACTAAATAAAATTATTGTTTGTTGAATTTTGAGTGGTTTCATTTGCACACAAAGGGGCTACACGTTATCTTAATTTTTCTTTGAATCCACGACCCTAGGTTACCTTTTTCTTAAAGTATACAAATCAAATTTTATTTGTAACAAACTGTAAATAAAAAAAAATTTACTTGGAATCATATAAATTTTCCTTAACAGTTAATTGATATTAGAAATCTAACAAATTTATTGTAAGATTATATTTTTACCGACGCCTGTTAATTAATAACAAACATTAATTATTTTAATCAAATACACTTTTTTTAATTGACCACAATATTTCTGTGTTTTACTACTCTCGGCCCGCAAATTGAACCCACTTTAAACTGTGTCTCCTCCCCCGTTTAAATTAATCAATAGGTTGATTTCATTGATTAATTTTATTTCCCTTTGGCAATTGATCGTCTGTAATAGCCTACAAGACCTAGAAATTGTTTAATATTTTTTGAGATTTGGGCATTGGGAAATTTAGAACACTTTCGATTTTCTTTTCATCTGGCTGAACACCATTTTCTGAAATTTTGTGACCTAAATAAATTACTTCTTATTTCATGAACTCACATTTATCAAGTTGTAATATTAAATTATTTTGAGACAATCTCTGAAATATTAGTTTTAATTTTTGTTCATGATCGGAAAGATTTGATCCAATGACAATTAGATCATCGAGGTAAACAAAGCATTGATTTCCCTGAAGTCCGGTTAAAACCGTATTCATTAATCTTTAAAATACTGCTGGTGCACATTTAAGACCAATTGGCATTCGTAAAAACTCATAATGTGCATTAGGCGTAGAAAAAGTAGTTTTTGGTGCATCTTCCGGATCCATTTTGATTTGGTGGAAGCCTAAGGCTAGATCCAGAACTGTGAAATAGGATGCATGTCGTAACTGGTCTAAAATTTCGTCAATACTTGGAATTGGCTGAACTTGAACTACAGTGACCATCATTAAGGCGTCTAGTCTGAAATCGATTACAATCCGCCATATGCGATGTCCTGATGAAACAATTTTTTTTGGTACCACCCACAGTGGTGCATTATATGAGGAAGCAGATGGATGAATTATCTTCTGTTTCAATATTTTTTGAATTTGGTTTGTAATTTCAGATTCATGATATTTTGGAAGTCTATAAATTTTGGAATGAATTCGGGTATCGGTAGTCGTATGTATTTATTTTACTATTTTACATAGAATCGCTTGAGTGAATGTCAAGTCATCATTTGGTAAATGAAAAATATGTTTGAATTCTCGACAAAGATTCAAAACTGACAATTTTTCTTCAGAGCTGAGATGTTCTTATCTTAAATTATTTTCTAACGTTGAAATGTGATCAACCGTGTGAGAATCAGTCGTATCTGAATACGTAGCAATAAAACTGAAACAGTGATCTTCGTGAAATTTCTCGAGTTCCACGTTGATAAAGTTTACTTGCACGGCTTTTTCCAAAGTGTTTACGATTTTAGTTATAGCAGTATTGTTTTCATCAGCTTTTAAAATAGCTTTGCTAAAACTCCTTCTAAAATTACTGCATCGCAACAGTAGCCTTATTTTACTTGGT